CCAGACTGAAAACGACATGCGTATTGTTGGTCTGAGCGTGCCTCTTTCCAATGCTCGCGACATCGGAGAGTGGATCGGTGCTAACAAGCACACAATCTACAACTTCAGTCCCCATGCCCGTCCTGTGCCTCTGGAGCTTCACCTTCAGTCTTTCACCATTCCCCATTTCCCCTCTGCCATGCTGGCGATGGCTCGCCCGGCATACCAGTCCATTTTGCAGCTTTCCCACGACAAGCCTGCTCTGGTCTTTGTTCCAAGCCGCAAGCAGGTCCGTGCAACTGCTGCGGATCTCCTCTCAGCGTGTGCCATCGATAACGATGAAGATCGATTCCTGAACGCCGATGTCAGTGAGCTCGCTCCTTTGCTTGAGCGTGTCCACGAGCAGACCCTTGCCACATCGCTTTCTCACGGGATTGGCTACTACCACGAGGCTCTGAATGCCACTGACAAGCGCATTGTCTTGCATCTGTTCAGCATTGGTGCGATTCAGGTGTTGTTGGCTTCGAGAGACGTATGTTGGGAGCTGGATATCACTGCTCACTTGGTCATCGTTATGAACACTCAATTTTTCGATGGCCGTGAGCATCGCTACATCGACTACCCCATCAGCGATATCCTGCAGATGTTCGGCAAAGCCTCCCGTCCCGGTCAGGACAAGCTCGGCCGTGGTGTTCTTATGGTGCCAGCGGTGAAGCGTGACTACTACAAGAAGTTCTTGAACGAGGCCTTGCCCGTCGAGAGTCACCTGCAGGTCTACCTCCACGATGCCTTTGTGACTGAAGCCAGCACGAGGACCATCTCCTCCACCCAGGATGCGGTTGATTGGATGACATATACCTATTTCTATCGCCGTCTCCTTGCAAATCCCAGTTTCTACGGTCTTGGCGACGTGAGCCATGAGGGACTCAGCACATTCCTGTCAGAGCTGGTGGAGAACACATTGAAGGAACTGTCAGAGGCGAAGATCATTGACGTTGATGAAGAAGATGACAGTGTTTCGCCTTTGAACGCTGCCATGATCGGCGCTTACTACAACATCTCGTTCATCACAATGCAAACCTTTTTGTTGTCTCTCTCGTCCCGGACGAAGCTCAAGGGCATCCTGGAGATTGTCACCTCGGCGACTGAGTTTGAGTCTATCCAGATGCGTCGCCATGAGAATCATATTCTCCGCCGTGTGTATGATCGTGTACCTGTCAAGATGTCAGAGGTTTCCTTCGACTCTCCTCATTTTAAGGCCTTCGTCCTCCTCCAGGCCCACTTCTCCCGTATGCAGCTCCCTCTAGATCTTGCCAAGGATCAGGAAGACATCGTTCGCAAGGTGCTCAACCTGCTCAGTGCTTGTGTAGATGTCCTCTCATCCGAGGGTCATCTCAACGCAATGAACGCAATGGAACTGTCCCAGATGGTGGTTCAAGCCATGTGGGATCGTGACAGCCCCCTGAAGCAAATTCCGCACTTCTCTCCTGATGTGATCAAGGTGGCCAATGAGTACAAGTATGAATCATCAGAAAAGTCTCTAGGCACATTCACTAATCTCCTTTCGTACAGGATCAACGATATATTTGAATTTATGGAGGCCATGGACCCATCTGAGAACAAGAACTACGCTACTTTGGTCAAGCGCCTTGGCCTCGATAATAAGCAACTGGCGCAAGCTGCGGCTTTCACCAACGAGAAGTACCCCAACATCGAGCTTGACTTCGAAGTTGAGGATGCGGAAGGCATCACTTCGGGCGAACCCGCGTATCTCAAGGTCAAGATCGAGCGAGATCTCGAAGAAGATGAGGAGCCCGACGCTACCGTCCACGCACCGTTCTACCCCAGCCAGAAGATGGAGAACTGGTGGCTGGTTGTTGGTGACGAGAAGACCAAAAGCCTGCTGGCCATCAAACGTGTCACCATCGGTCGTAAGCTCGAGCTGCGCCTGGAATATGTGGTCCCTACGCCCGGAGAACATGAGTTGACGCTCTACCTCATGAGCGACAGCTATGTTGGCGTGGATCAGGCTCCCACGTTCAGTGTCAATGCGGCAGAGGGAATGGATGAGGATGAGAGCGAGGAAGAGGAAGTAGAGTAAATGTCATGATCTGGTTTACAATTTGTAATAATAGTTATGTTTTTGAAGTCTTAGGATACCAAATGTGTCCTATATTACACATGAAATTTGCTTTTCTCTGTATTTTTCTTTCTTTTTTTCGATGTAACTTTGTATTTGCGTGCCTGCAAGGTACATGGCGCTTAACCCAATCAGCACCACTACCCCCCCCCCCGCCATGATCACGCTGCTCGCCAACTTCTCTCTTCTCCCCCTCTCCAACCCCATTTCCCGTTTTCTGCTCATCTGCCTCTTGATAGCTTCATTAAGTTCAATTCGTGGAAGCTCACCGAGCTTCCTTTTTTATCTCCCATACGATCTGATAGATCTGACATGGCCATTCGGAACATGAAGTTCACTCCCGAGTAAGTAGTGCTTATCTACTTGACAATTTGACAACAATATTCAATGCATACTCGAGAGCAATGGGCTGAAATTTTCTCCTCCAGGGTCCTGCTCGGAGCGCCCAGGCGGTCCTCAGCCGTCCCCAATGCGGCCGGCACCCTAGCAGTCTACACGCAGACATCCTACTCCTTCGAGTCGCATTCCAAGACCAATGAAATTCGCGTTATCGACATTAGCTCCGGTCGCTCTGCCCTGATCACCAATGACCCTGGCGCCAGTAACCCACAGTGGGTCGATGACAGCGACAAAATTGTCTGGCTGAAGAACAAGGGCAATGGCAATACGAGCTTTGTCGTCGGTGATGCCCGCCAGGCAGATGAAACCTACACCGCAGGAACTGTTCCGGGTCCCGTATCGGACCTGAAGGTAGTCCTTCTGGAGCCAGGGAAAGTCGGCTTCGCCGTGACCGGCAAAGCCAATACAGACGGATCGCTGTATAATCCCCATGATGCGAAGAAGCCTCATACAACTGGTAAACTGTACACATCTCTCTTTGTTAGACACTGGGACTCATATGTCGAGCCCCAGAAGAACGCGATCTTCTATGGCTTGCTGAAACAGGCTCCTCTGTCACCAGCCCGTCGACTGGCTGGCAAGTACTCGATCTCTGGCCTCACGAACTTGATTGCGGTCTCGGGATTGGTGGGCGTCGAGTCGCCGATTCCGCCTTTTGGTGGAACTGGGGACTTTGATATCAGTCCGTCGGCTATTGTCTTTATTGCGAAAGATCCTGACCTGAATCCCGCAACTCATACTTCTTGTTCTTGCTACTATACTCCCATGTTCTCGTGGACTAGCATGAGTGTGAGTGAGCCTGAACCGAAAATTTGCAAGGTCGCCGGTCTCCAGGGCGCGATGTCGTCTCCTGTCCTTAGCTCGGACGGTAGCTCTATTGCCGTTCTAGTAATGCGCGAGGATGGCTACGAGTCCGATAAGAACCGTATTCTCTATGTTCCCAACCCTTGGAATGGAGACATGATCGAAATTTTCCAGTCGGATGATGGTAAAGGACACTGGGATCTCAGTCCCTCGGCCGTGTCGTTTGCTCATGATGACAAATCGCTGTTACTTCATGTCGAGGAGGCTGGCCGTGGAGTTCTTTACCAGCTGCCGTTAGAGAATGTGCATTCCATCAGGCCCGACTCTCTGAAGAGACTGACGAGGTCGGGATACGTGAACGACGCCGTTCCTGCAGCTGCCAAATCCCCCAAGCTGTTCGTGTCTAGTAGCAGCCTGGTCGATAACAGCCTGTGGACCATCATCGACCCAGCCCACCCAGATGATGTCCAAATGGTATCTTCAAACGCGCGGGGCGGCAGTGCATTTGGCTTGTCCCCGTCCCAGGTCGATGAGATCTGGTTTAAGGGAGCTGAAGACCACCCTGTCCACGCGTGGGTCGTGAAGCCGTCCGACTTCAAGCCCGGGAGCAAATACCCACTTGCGTATTTGATTCATGGTGGACCTCAGGGCGCATGGAACGACCAGTGGAGCACACGCTGGAACCCGGCTGTTTTCGCCGAACAGGGCTATGTTGTGATCACTCCCAACCCAACAGGCAGTACTGGCTACGGCCAGCCTTTCACCGATGGGATCCAGGGACAATGGGGCGGTCGGCCCTACGAGGACCTGGTCAAGGGATTCGACTATATCGAGCAGCACCTAGATTATGTCGACACCACACGCGCGGTTGCACTGGGAGCCTCGTATGGCGGCTACATGATGAACTGGATGCAGGGCCATCCGCTTGGGCGCAAGTTCAAGGCGTTGGTTACGCACGACGGAGTGTTTAGCATGACTTCCCAGATGGCTAGTGAAGAGCAATACTTCCCTCTGCACGACCTGAAAGGGCCGATCTGGAAGGTGCCCGAGAACTGGGCGAAGTGGGATCCGTCGCGGTTCACTGAAAACTGGAACACGCCTCATCTGATCATTCATAACGAGTTGGATTACCGTTTGACTATCGCCGAGGGTCTGGCTGCTTTCAATGTGCTCCAGATGCGTGGAGTCGATAGTGCGTTCCTAACGTTCCCTGACGAGAATCATTGGGTTCTGAACCCCGAAAACTCGCTCATGTGGCACCAGACCGTTTTGAACTGGATTAACAAGTACGTGGGACTTCCGGCTGTGTCTGAGGAACCCGATCTGTCACGCGGAGTGGGCAGTCTGTCGCTGTGATGACAACAGTCTCTTTGAGCTGGCCATTCGGGCCAACGGGAGAAGACCAAGCTTGGATATGAAACGTATATGAGGGATATTGAAGAACCTGGGCATTGTTCTTTTCTTGGAAACAAAGGGTGAAGAACAGAGTTCTGCTTGAAGCTCGTCTTGATTGGAAATTTCAGAACGATGTCTTTGTGCTGTCAGGCTGTTTCGGGATGTTTCATCTCATTGTCGATGTTCTTTGAAGGTTTCGACAATCGCATACTTTTACATATAACTGTCCTTCATTTCTTCGATAGTTCATACATTGCATCGTGTACTTACCTCCACCATCAAAATGGAAAATGATCCCCCAACCCCCAAATCCCCCCACAGCATCAGCTGGCTCTCCGAACGAACCCTCTCAGTTTCCACCGCATCAACCACCACCCTAGCAGACCCCTTCAGCCCAATGAGCATCGCCTCCCCAAGCCTAACACCCCTAGACTCCACCGAATCCCCCCTCCTAATCAAGTATGCCAAGGTCCCCTTCCGAGAGAGTCCCAACTTCCACCCCCATTTCATCCCCCTCCTACGCCACCTCTCCTCCCACCTCTGGCCCCTCGTCAACTGCGAAACAGGCCTCGAACACCTGGACTTCCCACGAAATATGCTGGCCTACAACCTTCTGACCTCGGAGCAGGTCGATAACCTCGCCCGTCACTTCCATCAGGTCTACCCGCCTGTCCCAGCAACTTTTAACTATCCTACCTATATAACCCCGTGGATCGGCACGTCGGAGGAGACGACCATTGATCTCCCTACGAGGATAAAGAGGATGGGAAAGTTTTTTGGGCTAAGGGGATGTGAGGAGGATGTGGATATGGAGATGGATGCTGTTGCACAAGGAAAGGCTGGTGAAAATGGGAACGGGGAGAATATGAGTGAAAGTGAAGATGAGCTACTACGCCAGATGGAGTTGGAGTGGCAACAGGCATTACAAAGGGCGTATGCGGAGGAGTCGCATCGCTGGAACTTGAAGTGATTTTGAATAGATGGTAAAGAGTATATCGATTATATAGGCTGTCCAGGTTATGATCTGATCATTTCCATGCGCCGTGGTGTTGATTTAGCCGTCGATTAGAAGAGTTGTAAGAATAAGACATAGGCTATGAAGGGAATAGACAGTAGCACAGTAGAAATAGGAGAGAATTAAATCTCAATCCCCTTCATCTCCCTGAACATAGTTCTTCCATCTATATACGCAGCCCTAGAACCAAAATATCCAAACCACTCGTCTCCCACATCTACACAGCAAACCCCTCCATCCATGTCTTCAACAAACTCTTCAACTACCCCAAGCCACGACCGTGAAAAAAAAAAACAAAAAAACAAAAAAACAAAAAAAAACAATCACCTTCAACGACAATGGCGATCAATTCGATATGACAGATTATCAGGGCCTCTCTATGGACACAATCACCAGTCCTGTAACCGACCACGGTGTTGTCTTGCGCGACAAAGACATCCCCTGGGTCTCAGAGCAACTCTGGGCCCCGGACGCAGCAATCCAAACAAAAACGCCAATTCTACCTCGTCTTCCCTGCCCGCAAAAAAAAAGAAATCATCAATTGATTGAAGCTGTACAAGTCGATGGTACCTGAGCATTTAGTCTACTTGCCCATGCCATTCTCCCAGTTCTCTTGGACCAGCTTCCAGTACTTCTCGCGAGAACGTTCGCGAAAGGTCTTTCCAAACTTGATCATGAAGAGGAAGACTGAAGCACATGCCATGCCAATGAAAGCAGCAGAGATGAAACAGTTCTGGTACCCCATGTTCTCAATCCAGGGCGTGATCCTAAATGACGTTAGTGTGTGTCTTCGACTAGAATCTAAAGAGAAAACCCTACCCATAGCCAATCGCAAAAGACATGGTATTCCGAACCAGAATCACACTAGCCATGGCAATACCACTCAGCTCTTGATAGCTGTCAATAAAGTAATTGACACTGAGCGTGATGCCACAGGTACTCGTGAAGGCCAGCATGCACATTGCAACAACTAGTCCAAACCAGTGAATCTCGTGCGCAGCACCGACACCCCAAAGAATAAGAGAACCAGGCACAAGTACTATACAAGCGAGGAAGGGCCAGAGACGGTGCTCTGCCTCCATGACGCCATTGTTCTGGCGGGCGAGTTTGATTGTGAGCCAGTCGCTGAACCGGCCAGTGAAGAGGGATCTATCTCTGTCAGTTTTGATTGCAGTAATGGGCCATGCTGGAAATCTCACCCCAGGATTACTCCGGTGATTGGCCCTAGATAACTCAGACCGATCATGGAAGATCTGGGACTGGTTAGTTTGCTTGCTTCATTCATTGAGTAAGAAAAAAAAAACAAGACCAACCCAAAGTGGTATGGCTCTCCGCCAAGAATGATAGAGGCTGTTCCATTCAAGATGTTGAAGTACACCAGATAGGATCCATAAGAGAAGCTTTGTACAAGTTAGTCTAAACATACATCACGTCCCAAAAATGTTATATCCATACCCAGAATAGAAGATAACAGGCCACGAAAGGAAGTAAAGACACTGCCATAATCGCCGGAACAAGGTATTCTGCTCCTGCCTCGGCCCCCAAAGCGCCAGTTTCTTCGCAAATGATTTCTTAGTGTGGCCCGACCTTATACTGACCCCAGTGGCAGCTTCCATATCAAGAGCCGCAGATTTTTCCTTTTCGTCCTCCGAGCCGAGTTTTGGAGGTTCTGTGGGTGTGGAAGCACTAGGCTCATCGGGATACGCTCGAATGAAGTTTGTCTCCTCGCAGAAAAAGAAAAGGAAGATTATGGCACAGCCGGCAAAGATGCTCGGGTAGTAGAATACCCACCGCCAACCTTGGTACTGGGCGATAAAGCCGCAGATGACTGGTGCAAAGTAGTTGCTTCCTGCCAGGAAGAATGCATAGAGACCCATGTATGCTCCTCGCTCGTGGGTGAAGTACTGCTGCTGTGTAAGCGTTGGGTTCTTTCCTGAGGTGGGTTTTGCTTACTACGTCCGTGACTGATATCTGAGGAATCGCTTCCACGGGTGCAGTGAAGAAACCTAGGATGATGTTTCGTGCGAGCCATTGACCCTTAGTGCTTGCGTATGGTCTGCTCAGTGTTAGTCCTGTCCTATTGCAGGCATAGTAACTGATTTACCCCCACATCGTCATACCCTGGATTTGTTAGCTTTAATTCTCTAGTGATATCCACCAGGTTGAGGTCGAGGTACCAAGATTCCTATCAATGACAATATGTATGTCGGCCGCTTGCCATACTGCATAGCAAAAGGCTGCCAAAACAGCAAGCCCCAACCAGCCAACAAGAACATGTACCCACTTCCTTCGTTCAGGGTGCTAATAGGCAATCCCATTTGTTCGTGAATTGGCTTAATCACTGAGTAAACGATGGAGCAGGCAATTCCCGAGAACATCGTATAGCTAGAAACATGAAACATCAACCCTGAGTCCTTGGTCAGTCTATTGTGACCTGCACTCACACGCTCACGCAAACAGTCGATAGAAGCTTCCGTTGCGGGCTCCAATTAAGGGGATCATCTGGGTTTTTTGACGGGGTAGGGATCAATACAATATCATGGTCTCCGTGGTTCAAGTGCCGAGTCTCCAAGATATGATCCATGTCCACTAGAGTCACGGTCCCAGGGACGGAGGAGCTGTCGATGACTGGGGCCATGATGAAGCACTGGTCTTTCCGATGCGACGTTTGTGGTTCAGTGAAAATGTCAGTTCACGCAGATATGAGAGAATCCCAGGAGCAGGAAGAAAGATGAAAGCAAGACGCAAGGTCAAACCAGATGTAGGAGGGGGAGAACAGGGATGAAAAGATAAGAATGATATAAGGAAGATCGACACCCATGCAAGAAGATGACCGAGAGAAAGATAAGAGCTTGAACTAGCATTTCCCCCACAACCTCTGCGGTTATGTGTTGGTTTTTTTTTATCATATCGCTTGGCCTTGCATAGCATTTTCGAACCATTCGACACAAAGGATATCTCCAGTTCAATACGGAGAATGAATGAAGAACATCATTTAGTCCAAGACTGGTGAGACTAACAGGGCTAGTCAGCCCTTTGGAGCCCTTTGGAGCCCTTTTTTCCTACGGTCTAATTCCCCATCTTCCCTTTTTTGGAAAGAAACAGATCAACTAAGTCAAGACTTCGTTTCCATAACGCCTCTGCACTTTCTTCCCCGGCTGGGAAGTCAAGATGCGGTAACTTGGGTATCTGAAAATGATCAAGAAAGGCTCCAGATTGGACTGATACCTCATATCCAATCAGTACATGCATATACCCCTGATGATCACAATTTCTTACCTTCGAGCTCCGGGTCGAGCAGTCCACGCAACACCGTGGCACTACCCTGTGAGAGTGATTTCGGCACTTGCTGTAAAAGGACCGGAATGTCTTCGCCCGCTGTAGGAAATCCCGTCAAATCAACGGAAATTTTGCGATCTGCTATTGGGACATACCTTCTTTCTTCCGCTGCAGCCAGGACTTGATCTCATCCAATGCAACGTATGTCTGGACATTGGTTTTGGTATCTAAATCCAGTGAGAATGACCGAAAAACACCTCCACCTATTGACTTACTTCCGGGATTGGCAGAAAAGGCAGTGATGGATCCCCTATACTTCTTCGCAAAAGATTTGACAAACAAGATAATCGCGAGCATCGACTGCGAATAACCATCGAGACTGTGGTAATTTTCTCCATTCTATCCAAAAGTCAGCATGTACCACCAGCAAGCATGCAGCCTATACCCCAACCAACAGAACCAAACTCACCTCAAACTCCAAATCATCCCACGAAGGCGCAGGCGCCTCATTCCGCAAACTCGACGTGACTAAAACAACTCTCGACCGGGGCCCCATAACGTCACATAGCAGAGTCAGCAGCAGAAAATAACACAGGTAGTTCTTCTGGAAATGAGACTCGAGTCCATCCTCCGTCAGCTCCCATGGTACGGCCATAACATCAGGAAACCCAATGAAGCCATCAATCGAGATGCCCAAATCCTTGATCGCATGCGCTGCCTCGCGGAACGAACCCAGGCTGCCGGGATCGGCCGTCACAAAGATCATTTTGACCGTTTTATATTTCCGGTTGATATGATCGATCGTAGGCTGTAGTTCGGACTGTGACCGGCCCGTGTATATAATGGTTTTTGCGCCGCCGTGGGCGAGGGCATCTGCAGTTGTTGCTGCAAGATCGCCTCGTTTGAGACCGGATATTAGGACTTTGGGGAGTTTGTAAGTTTATATAATGAGTTCTTTGGGGGTTGTGGCGGTACATGTTTTTCGCATCACCCGGTCTGGGAACATCTTTGTCACATCCACCCCCAGAGTCTGGCCATCGAAGGTACTGGTCATTGTGCTGGATTCTCTTTGGTGTGGGTTGATCTTCGGGGTTGAAAGATGAACTTCATTTGAATTGTGGACAAGTTCGGCATTTCGTCATCATGAAGCCATATCGGATGTATTCGACATCACTCACGATCGAGTAACAGGTGGAGTAAAAGACAAGTATCGTCAGAATGGAATTATGTTATGGGTTGCAACGCATAGATCGGGTAACTTCGAAAAGCAAAAGTAGACGGTGATCAGCCCTGATATTAGGAAATTCAAATTCGCATTCATAATGTACAGCAAAAAAAATCGCACACATACGGAGCCTGCCAGTCAAAGGAGAAGAACGCAAACAAAAATCGGGATCACGCAAGATCCAGTGGATCTTAATGAGATGGACCCGCCGCATCATCTTCAGGCATCTCGCCAATAACACCCTTCATGAGCTCGATAAGTTCATCAATGTCGGGCCGTTCCGAGGGTTCAACAGTGAGACACCTTCGAACAATATCCTTGACGGGTGCACTGATCGCAGGGGTATCGTTTTTGGATGCATCCTCGCTTTCACCCAACTTAGCTTTGCCCTTAGAAGCACCGGATTTTTCATCAGGGAATCGCCAGTCACCGCCAAGAACACACATGCTCAAGCTACCACCGGTCTCTTCACTGCGCGCCTCGAAGGGACTCTTGCCGACGAGACAGGCGTAGAGTGTACACCCTAGCGACCAGATATCAACCTTGGTATCAATAATCGACCCTGTCTTGACATCGAAGAGCTCCGGTGCGCGATATGGCATCGTACTGTGTTCTGCTGCGGTATCCTGCACCGCCAAGGCGAGTGAGCGGGATGTAATGGCGATCGGGCTGGGCGCCAAAGAGCCCAGATCCATCAGAATGGGTGATTTCCCGTTGTCGTCGATCATGATGTTTCCTAAAACGACAGTCAGCACGTCGAGTCGATTTGGAATTTCTGCTTCGGCAGCCAAAACGGTAACTCACCAGGCTTGACGTCTCGGTGCGCATAGGGGCGCAGGTCCCCATCCTCAACACCCTCCTGACTCCGGGTCACCTCGTCATCCATCAAAGGCGCATTCTCCTCGTCCTCCTCATCCTCCGCTATGTGTTGGCTAGCCCTCCGTTTCGGTTTCATCTGCATGGTCCGTTCTTCATCGATCTCCTCGCCTTCTCTCCGAACACCCTTCGCCTTTCGCGTAGATGCCGTTCCATTCTTCACCCGATACTGATGCATCGAGCGAAGCGCGTCGGCAACACCGAGTATCAATATCATCAGCCGCTTCTCTGGGAACTTGGTGTGGTTGACCAGATTGGCATTAATGGCATCCTGGAGATTCCCGCGCTGGTAGTATGGGAGTAGAATATAGACTGTCTTTGAACCTGGATCTCCGCCATCGGATCTGAATTTTGAGCCGGATTCTGTAGAGACGCAGTGGTCAATCGAGTGGATGATGTTGGGTTGGGCGTTGAAGATGTTGTAGGCTTCAACTTCTTTCAGGGCTTGCGATACGGATTCTTGGCCGAATGGACAGCGGATTTTCTTTAGCGCAAATAGCTCGGAGCTCGCCTTATCTTGGACTAGGTAGACGTAGGAAAATCCGCCCTGTGGCGTTGTCAGTTCATACCAGCTTGCAGCTATCGTTCTCGGGTTTCCATACCTCGCCCAACAAACGTAGGAGCTTGAAACTCCGGTTGTTTATCTTTAGCTGTGGGGAGCTAGGAAAGCAACACATGCAATCCGTGAAGGTGTACAAGAGGTCGAAGAAGTATTGCGCCATGATGTATACTGCGATATGAGGCAGTGGTCTTGGGGCCCGGCGACGTCCGGCACGTAGGTGATAGATGCGCAATAATTAGTACAGAATGGACAAGAACGTCGTAGAGGATATGTGTCTTGGAGATGTAGAGAGGTAAGGATTGTATATGCAGAGAGAGATGATGGAAGTCGAAGTTGTCAATGGTTGGCATTACGTGGAGTGGAGTCGTTTTATTTGTTGTCTTCCACCCCCCTTTCTCTTTTTATATCGTTCTTGGATTTCTCGATCACTTTCTTTTCTTGTATTCTAACCGGTTCAGCTGGAACTTGTTGAGTCTGTCTTTTTCATTTACTTCTCTCTTTTTTACTTTCCAATCGCCATGGTGGGAGTTAGGCCGTCAACTTAATATCCTTGCATTCCCCCAACGCTACCTCTACACCCTTGACTTCTGTACCCTTCCAGGGGCTATTGAAACTCGCCCGGAGCTTTTTGTTTAAAAGCTGCATCTTACCCTCTCTCAATCTCATATTCATATCGCCCATATCCCTTCCAATGGCGCACCCCGATGATGTACAGGTCGGCGACGTGGTGAATGTCCCCGGTGGCATGTATGGGACGATCAGATACTTGGGACCGGTAGCAGGGAAGGCCGGACGATTTGCAGGAGTCGAACTGAGCTCCGAACACGCGCAAAGAGGTAAAAACAACGGCGATGTCGACGGTAGGAAGTACTTTGCAACCTCGATCCCGGGTTCTGGCATATTTGTCCCAATGAACAACAGCAAGTATGTCACAAGGCGATCCTCGAATATCTCACCTCCTGCACGGGGAGGACCCGCCAACTTCAGCAAATCTGTCGGTGCACCTCTTGCTACTCCCCGCCCTCGAGTCCGACGACCCTCTCTCCCTCGACCCGAATCCCCGCGCGTGCCCCCGCCTCCGAAACTAAGCCTGGCCGGCTTGCGTACACCATCAGCAGCATCCAAGACAAACGGGATGAACAGTGGCATGCGTAGCCCCGTCAAGGCGCCGTCTCGGCTATCTGATAGGCCCTCGTCTCGACTAAGTGTAGACGACGATGCTTCGTCAAATGGACGGCCATCGGACTTCCACCGACCGCTCTCATCGGAGACTCAAGACTTGAAGGATCAGATCAAGAGTCTAGAGAAGCAGCTTCTGGACCGAGACAAACAGCTCGATGAGCAGTCCGGGACTTTGAACGAGTTCCAGAAGACCTTAGAGGAGATGGAGGGATCGGAAGGTCATTCGATTCGTACACAGCTACGCGAACGCAACGAGCGGATTACCCAATTAACGGCCGAATTCGACGTCCACCGTGCAGACTTCAGAAGCACCCTCGACACATTGGAGGTCGCGGCCTCTGAAACAGAACGTGTCTATGAACAGCGTCTTGACGAGCTTATGCAGCAGAACAAGGAATTACAGGATCGCGGTGAAGATGTTGAGGTTGTTGCGCAGCAGCTCAAGCAGTTGGAAGAGCTGGTCTCGGAGCTAGAGGAAGGCCTCGAGGACGCCCGGCGTGGAGAGGCCGAGGCTAGGGCTGAAGTCGAATTCCTCCGCGGTGAAGTTGAGCGCACCAAATTGGAGCTGAAGAAAGAGCGTGACCACTCCGCTGCTGCACTGAAAGATGCACATGCTGCCGCAGACGGGCCTAGGAGCAATAGTGAATTGGACCAGAAGGATGATGAGATCCGAGGACTCAAGGCCATTATTCATTCATTGAGCCATGGAAACCCCAGCGCGACAGGCTTGGTACAGAACGGCCTGACGGATCTTGATCATAAACCGGAGCACGTTGCTCGGCTGGAGATTCGACTGCAAGAGGTGGAAGAAACTACAAATCGCAAAGACAATCGGATCGAAGAGCTCGAGCATCAACTTCAAGAAATGCACCTGCAGTCTGGTGGTCGCGGCCGCAGCTCTACTATCACTCTTTCACCAAAGCAACACAGGCCATCGCACTCTGCGGGCAATATCTCCAACCACTCAAATAACCCCAACCCCAACCGTCTTTCGGACCGTACAGTGGTCCCGACCGACTGGCACGACGCACCTTCCGAGCCGCACCATCACCGTGGTACATCCAACTCTTCTCAATCGCGACTGGAAACTATGCATGAATCTGAACGTTCTTCCGACGAGGATACCATGTGGTGCGAGATCTGCGAAACAGGCGGCCACGACATCCTGAACTGCACCAGCATGTTCGGCTCTGGCCAAAACACAGCTGAACAGAAGAATCCCAAGTACGATGCTGCCGATGATCTTGCCGATGAACTCCCAGTTGAGAAGACCGAACCCCTCCAGACTAAAGCCTCGTCCATCCATTCTGGTACTTCCCCCGCACTAAAGACAGGACGGGATGTGGTCATGGAAGGACTGAAGGGCACTAGCGGACAGGGCTCATCCCTTGGCTCATCCATGGCTCCCATCGCCGGTAAATCATCGGGTGTCATCGATGAGTCCAAGTGGTGTGCTCTCTGCGAGCGAGACGGTCATGAGAGCATCGACTGTCCACTTGATGAATAATGTTCTGGATATGTAGTGGCATGAATTCGGTGTACCGAACAAGATCGCAGCTCTCTGTTGCATGCATCTATGGGGTGTTTTTTTCTAGTACATGATTGTTGGGTCTGTTACCACGGTTAAAAAATGGTGTTTTTGTCGGTGGCTGGAGGAAAGGAGAGGATTTGCAACACGGTGGGGGCTGTGTGCTTGTTATAAATACCATGCCCTTGGTCAAAAAATGATGTCGTTCATTGAAGTATCAAACACCGGCAACTTTCCATGTTCCATTCTATCTCGGGTTAACCTCGACTTGTATTGCCCTTTAAAAGTGCCCTTTGATTTGTCGAGAGGCATAATCATCATATTCTGTTTCTTTCTACATCTATTCACATCTCCGAATGTTAGGTTCGTCACTCATAACCATTCATCACCGAAAAATACTACATTTACGGCCTCACCAACCTCACCCTCCACTGGACCTGATCAGGATACTATTCAGGATATGTTGGGGGCTGCGTAATTTCCCCCTCCCGATACTTTGACGCTGCAATCTCTCCACAGGCCTTGCACTTGCGCTTTTCTTCGTCGGCCGCAAACTCCTCAACCACGGCCTTAACCTGCGTTCCCAAGTCAACACACACAAACTTCTTCTCCCAAACAATCTCCTTGCAGCTCTTGCAATACCATCTCATAGCATCAACTGCATCCTTAGCCCGCGGTTGT